CAACTGATTTTTATTATCTAGAGGGTTGGACAGATGTGCAGAACAAATCCAGTTTTCTGCCAGCTTTCTCTCTCTGCCTCCACTTCATCCCACTGCTGCCTGATTGCATTCATTTGCTTTTTAAAAGTCACCATTTTTCTTTAGGCAAAGATCATGCCAAATTTTCTCCAGTTGCCACAGCCAGTTACCGTTTGTTGCCAGAAATCACTTTATTGCAGCCTGTTGAAGGGGAAGCAGCTGAGCGGCTGAAAAAGTGTTTTTCCTCTGGAGTTATTGAGATTGAGGAAATCAAAGGTAAATTTCTTTCTTCATTCCTTAAATGGTACAAAATCACAAACTGTATTTCATTGACCAATTTCTCTCCTCCCCGCCCTGCAATGACAGAACTTTCTATCTTCTTTATGATGAAGTGCATGTTTGCCTTCCTTATGGTCTAATTTGTGAGCTTCCAATCAGCTCTGTGGCGGCTGTATTACAAAAAATGGCAAAATAGCCACAACAAAAATGGATGCTTGGTTGAACGCCTTCCTCCCTTTTTTTTTCCTATTTGCTATGCAGAGACTAAGGCTGTTTTCCTCAACTATCGGAAAATCGAATGAAGGCCTGATGTTTGGTTCTGAAAAGTGAAGACTGATTACAAACCTTAAGAGAAAAACTCAATTAAATTCATTGAGGGATATTTGGAAAAGTCTACATAGAATCAGTCTGCCCAGGGAGCGGGGTTTGTTGTCCAGGTTTCCAACCTATTAATCAGCAATTTAGATGGGCAAGATGTTATTTGGAATCTGTTTTGTAGTTGAGTTGAAGCAGAGACGAATAAACATAATCCAGCTGTATATAAAAAAGCTTCATTGAAGATATGTTAATATTTTTTGGAATTTAGGTATTGTTTCTTTTTTTTTTCCCCCTAGGAAAGAAAGTAGCAAGAGTGGCTAATGCTCGATTGGACACATTCAGTAGAGAAATTTTTCGTCATGATGACTTGAAAAATCTTGTACGTTTGGCTCGGGTACGAGATCATTACATCTGTGAGTAATTTACATGTTCTTTTGTTATCGATCTTTATGGATTGTGTAATGAGTACACAATTTTCCTTGGATCAGGAGCGATATTCCTTTTCCTGGAGGCAATAACAAGCAGAAGGTTTTTGGCATCAGGATGGGGTGAATGTTTCATGGTATTGTTTTTTTTTTGAGGGGGTAAAGGATTGGACTTCTGGGCCTCTGAAAATCAAAGGGGTCTCATTTCCAGTTTTGTTTTTAAACTTATCAAGTTTGATGGATAGGATTTAGGACTGTTTTGGAGGCTGAAATAATAGAAATGAGAGTTGTTGGTGGGGCTCAGTCAGCCTTATTAATTTGTAGATTAAAAAAAAAAGTACCACCGAAAGCCAGCCTTTTGAAAGCCAGTTTATAATAGGACTGCGCTGAAGGATGCCTGCACTTATGGGTTGTCTAATATTGTTGTTAACCACTACCGTGTTTCTCATATAATAAGGCTGGGTCTTATTTTTTTTGAGCCCTGAAAAAATGGCTAGGGCGTCTTTTCGGGGGTGACTTAATTCCCCCCCCCTTGCATCGTTGGGTGGGCGGGCGGCTTGGATGTTGACCTCCGTGTTGTTGGGGCACTTCGTATCGGGGTCAACGCAGGCAGCACCATATCCAGGTATGCAACAAAAGTACTTCCTCATGGCAACCCTCCCCATTTCACATGTTTTAATATAGGCCTTAATTTGGGGGGAGGGGCTTAATTTCATTTCATGCCTATAAAACATGCTGGGACTTCCTATTGGGGGAGGCAGTATTGTTGGAGAAACAGGGTAGCTTCGAAATGTCAAATGACAAAGCACCTTGTGTAATTTCCTTGCTTTTTATTCTACAGTTCTGTATTTTTTTTTATAGTTAGTTTTTGCATCAAAATGATATAGAACCAAATAATCTCAGTGGTCATTTTAATGGCATTATATAATTCTATCTTTAAATCTGCTTGAGCCAGTCCTTCATTCAGTGCTTCGAAATCTGAAAACATTTGTGCAAGTGAGGTCTTAATGCTTATCTTGGGAACATGACTTATTTGAAAAGCCCCAAAAGTAGATTATTCTCTTGGCTCTGTTGAAGGTCATAACTTGTATTCATGTATCAGTGAATTGTGACGTACTGAACAAATCTCAGTTGTCATAGTTTATTAAAAATAATCTGATTTATATACTTAATTTGATTATCTCCAAGGCTGCTTGCTCCAAAGTGAAGTTTACCCTATAAGATATAGGAAATAAGCCTTTCTTGGGGTCCCATCACCAAAGTAACTTCTCTGGCTGGGAATTTCTGGGAGTTGAAGAACACAAGTTTTACACTTGACCAGACTGAGAAACACTAATCTGCAGGAAGCTCTTCTAAGGGATGGTGCTGCTCCTGTAGAACACCTTCTTTTCAAAAAGAATTGTTCATCCTTACTGAGTTTCAAAAAGAAGTGAAAATATGGCTCTGGAATAGACAATTTGGGTTTTGATTCATTTGTTTAATTGGGTTCGTCTTATCTAGTTTTAGGGCATGTATGGAGAACAGATATTTTGGGTCCTATTTATGCAGAAATATTGCAAATTCAAAGGGTTCACAGACTTTTAAGCACAGCAGTATTTTGGCACCTAGTAATGAATCCTACTATTCAACTTCCATCTGCTACTTAACAGTTTAATATGTTATCTTGTTTATGCTTTATGATAGTTCAAACTGAGACCCTTTCTCACCCCCCCTCCCCCAGTCTCTGTAGAATCCACAGGCATCTTGCCTCCAGATGTGTTGGTGAGTGAAGCAATCAAAGTACTAATGGGAAAATGCCAGCGCTTCTTAGAGGAGCTAAAATCCATCCAGAAGAAATAAAGTTGGGAACGCTAAAGATTCTTGTGGGGAAATACCGCTATCAAAATCCCTATGTCTGATTTGAAGAGGAACAACTTTAATCAAGATTGCATCAATCTGTAAGACAATGAGACTTCCGAGATGTCAATGAACAATAGTTGCTGAACAATTGTTACAGTTATTTACACAACACCGACACAACCAAAATTCAGGATAACGCAGTGCCTTGTGTAGGATTTGTGGTCCGGCAATGGTGGATGCCATTCTTTGATAAGGCTTTGCAATCACATGCACATGGAAACTCCTAGAGTGAACTGTACAATTTCCTGTGTTAGTCTTAGTTTCCATTACAACAGTGTTGTAGAAATCTTACCGCTGTGTAGTGGATCACCTATTACATACTACCTTTTTGCTGATCTGGCACTATATACCATGACAGTTTCATGATCTGGCATAGTTCCTAGAGTCAGCAAAAAAATCCCCAAGTCAGTTAATCTGTGTCTGGGCTGTACAGTTTTCTGCGTCAATATCCATGAAAATACTTGATTCTTTTAAGAATTTTAATCCTGCTAGCTGTCATTAGTACATTTATGCATAATATCAGTATATGCTGATCTAAAATATTTATTCCTAACATTCTGTCAGTACATTTATTTTAAAAAGTTACCTTTTAGTTACTGGGACACATGCCTCTGTTTAAAGGAGGGAAATACCACCTTGAATATTCCTCTCATCCTAAGTATTCTCTTGAGATTCCAACTGTTTCCAAAGTTAAGGTAGTACGTTTAAGCTACTTTCTGGCAAAACCCGAATATCCTTCCAGTTTAATCCATTATTCATTGATACAGAATTTCTAATTGAAACAGGAGAGAAATGCCTATTGATAAACTAGTTGAATTAGAAAAATTAAGCTGCAAGAAATCTTCTCTTAAGAGGAATATTATTGTGTATGTCTTTGAAGTATGCGAGCTAAGTACCTTTGGTAGCATATAACGTTATGAAGAGTAGAAGGCACAGGACATGAATTGCTGTAGTTCCTTGTGCTACTTTGTCATCAAAATTTTTATTTTAAATTTATTGAACTATCCTGTTTCCAACCTCCAAAAACTGGAATTGCCCAACTTTGATAAGAATGTCTAATTTTTAGCCCAAACTTAAAATAATGTACGGCGTTTTTTGCACTATAAAGATGCACTTTTTCTACCTAAAAAGTGGGTGGAAATGTCTGTGCGTCTTATAGAGCGAATATTGCGCAGGGAGGGAGATCGCCGCCTGTCCCTGCTGCTGCCATTTGCCACTGCTGTGGAACACTGGAGCCTTTGCTGCAGAGCAGCTGATTGGCAGTTTGGATCGGCCTCCCGGAATACCACCGATTAGCTGGTCTAGCTAATCACCACTGATGCCAATTGCTGCTGCTAATCATCGCTGCTGAACAGCAGTGGCAATGGTGAATGGCGAAGGCGGTGATTCCCGCCTAGGACAGCTGATTGGCAATGTTCTGGGAAGCTGATCTGTCAATCAGCTGCTCGACAGCGAAGGCTCCAGCATTCTCCAATGACGCCACTAGCTCAGCTCAGTTGACTGGTGATTGGCGCAATGGAGCATAGCCCTGTCAAGCCCCATGTTGGGGCTGCGATAACATGCTGAAGCTGACCAGGCTGTTTGTTGCAAGGATGTGAGCCAGATGAATATCGGATGGATGCTGGGATGCAGAGGCAGTTTTTTTTTTTCTTGTTTTCCTCCCCAAAAGCTAGATGTGTCTTAAGTTCTGGAGTGTCTTATAGTGCAAAAAATAAAGTATTTGACTATATTCAGTAAAGCAAGACAAAGCATTCACACAAAAGCTTGAAGCATTAAAGCATCTGCAAGCTTTGCAGCCTATGCTTACTGTTTGCGTAAAGTTTACTAAAGGTTTATATGAAAATATTTGTGCATGCACAGTCAAGTAGAGTTTTGGGGTAGCTGACTGAGCCTTCTAGGATGCAGCTGTTTTAATGTGTTGAACAGCAGTGCTTGAGTCAGGGTAGCATGTTTTGCATTAAGTATGCAATTTTCATAATTGCAGTATTTGACCCAGAGAGCAGCCGTGGTGGTGATGTTCAAAAAAGGTGTGAAAAGAATTAATGCAAAGGAACAGCAATGTTTGTATAAAATGAGACTTTTACTGACATTGATTTGGAGACATCTTCAGATACAACATCTCTACAAAAAAAACAAAAACAAAACCCCTCACTTGTTTTAAATGCGTCTTTTACGGGCACAGTAAATTGAAATGTAATTAAGACACAATAAATACAGTTAGGCAGGATTCCAAAGCTATTTAACAAAATTTGGTTTAAATAAATGTTACGCTGAGATCAGGATTATAAACAAATCAGACTGGAGTCTGGCTATTAGTGAGGATCCAAATATCAATATTAAGACCTGTTTTCTGTCATGTAACCAGATGTGTATACTACTAAGCCGCTTAATTGAAAAACACCATTCGGTTCTACCTGTAGTCAAGCTATTACAGCAGCCACTAAGGAAAGCCCCTCTATTTGATACTAATTCTTCAGACTGAAAATTAAAATCTGGCAAATTTATGCTCACATTCTATCGCTCTCTCGGACAAACACTTAAGACCTGGCTTGGAGGCATTCTGTACCATCAGACACTGAACCAAATTATCCTGAACTGTACTGCATTCTACATTCAGGGGCAGCGTTTCAGCATAAGTTATTTTAAACCAGTATAAAATAGTTCTGAATTCTTTTTGTTTAGAAAAATCTGACTTTTGACAGTTGAGGACTGATTGCAGCTAGAATACCTATTTCAACAATATTTGTAGGGCAAAGAAGAGGATGTTTAATCTGAGGCTTCCTGAGGCTTGGTTGAATTTTTTTTAAAAAATGTTTTCACTCCAGTTTCTCAATGGTACTTGGTTTGCTGGAACATATGGCCAATGCTACTTCTCAAAAGTAATAAAAATAATAAAACTTTTGAGTAGTATAACTTAGTGATTCATCAACACTCAATATGCACAACTGCATTTCTTCATCCAAGCTGTGTCTTTCCAACAGGGAAGCAGGAGTCTCCTATTAGTGTCATGTTGAGGCAGCAACAGTACAGGTGTCCTGAAGGAGAAGGAGCAGAGAGAATGAGAGGCTGCAGAACTTTCTCCCTTCCTCGGTCAAATACTATAGGTATATATGAAGGGTTGTTTGTAAAAGAACTGGCCAAATGACACTTGGACCGGAATGCCTGAGCAACCACCATCCAACAGTAAAACGATAAAGTTATACAGTAAAGCTGCAAGTGGAGCTAGAAAATCTCTCCCCCTCCCAAAAGGAGAATGAGGCCAGTGGGAACTGTATCAGGGCTCAGGAAAGGAGTAAACAAAGGAAATATGGCTACTGTGAAACACAGTATAAAGGAGGAAAAAGTGGAAGTGTCTTCAGCTTATGGCTCAAAGAGGGCAATGAGAATTTCCTCTTCACTGTTTTCAAAAACGTCTTGTCCTAGGGGTGCTTTCATCTTCTTGAAAAGAGATGGAAGATTTCTGATGTGGACTTCTTTCCTGAATTGTTCTCCCAGGGGCTTCTGTAAAAAAAACAAAAATGAATAGGTAAAAGATGCAGAGAAATATTCCAACAAGAATAGCCTCTGCGAACATTGTAGAATTTCCCACCCCCCCACTCCACAGTGTTATGATCCCCTCACAATTGTGGGGACGTGTCTTGTTCCTGTATCCTAGATTGTTCAACGTGCTGAATTTAATTTGGATCAACTTCAAGTCAGTCAAAGCCAGAAACAAAGTATCAAATGCTATATATTCTATAGCAGTAAGCAGGGAGTAGGTAATTAGCCATGGACGACAGGGGAAAAATACATTCTGGAGAATCCTAGAATAGTAAAGGCTACATGGTTAGATGTCCACAAGTACCCAATGTTTCTACCATCACAATTTAGGATTTGTGCAACCTGAGTCACAACTAATGGGCTGAAAAGGTAAGCTCTGACATTGGTTAAAGTCAACAGAGGGGAAAAAAAAACCACCCTGCTTATCCTGAGAGATGAGATAATTTCTCTGTTGCTTGATATCATGTCTTACCCCTATGCAGCCTGCAATTAGGCGTTTGAAATGGTCCTTCCGCCGTTTATCAGCCACCTTCTGAAGCGTTACGTTGAGTAGTTTGGAATCAAACTGCTCCAGGGAATCATTCTGGATTTCTGGGACTTGTTCCATCACTGTTTTCAACTCAGCATAGCGTGGACGCTTTAAATAACAAAAAAGAAGAGTCAGGAGGGATCTTTGCCAGAAGAGAAACGGCTATTTCCAAAGGGGGAATTAACCACTAAATGATATGTTCAAAACTTTGCATCCCACCAAAATGAGCCTTGGATTTGGAGTGGTACTAAACCACAAAGATGGCAGACCTGGGAATGGATTTTCTCCCCAATTCCTTACCAAAGCTTCGTAGATCTGGAAAGCCAAGTGGACAAGTGCTGCCATACAGCCATTGTGTTGCCCATGAACCTGTAACCCTTTCAGTACACTTGTGAAAAACCAGATCACTGCTTCAGGGATCATCATATTCTTTGTGAGAACCTATGGCAGAGAGATTGAAGTGAGGCAAGATGGGGAGAAGGGGCTCTTTTCCAAAATTCTGATATTCAACCCTATTTTACTTAATGCAATACCCTTTTATCCCATTCACCACTTTGTATCCTGCTAAACTCAGTATCGAGGTACCTGTTTGAGCAACGGCCAGCAGAGTTGGGTGGTAGTTCTTTGACAGGACAAGGTATCCTTCCAGGAAAGGGATGTGAAGGCTGTAATTAGCAGAGCAGTACAGACATTCTTGGAGAAAAAGAAAACGAAGTTAGGCCACTTACAGACTCACAGGATTTTTGTCTTACAGGTCAAGGCACTCTTAGTTATAGGGCAGAATTAAAAAGTACATTGGAACTCTAGATGTTTCATGAAGCACAGAAATATATTTCTTTGTCAGATTAATCAAGAAAAAAAAAATGAATCACCCTATTTCCCCACAGAACTGGCCATAATATTTCCATATTATAAAAAGACTTTCATGATAAATTAAAAGTTTTTTCACAAAAGCAATAGCTTTTAAGAGTATATGTACTTATTTAAAAGCAGATCTGTACTGAATATTCTATGTGTAATTTCTAAGTTTACAGACTTTTTTTTTCTACAGGGATCTCTCTAGGGTTGCTGGAATGTAACTGGCAATGTAATGAGGTTACAGGAGAAAGAATGTGTTTTCTTTTCTACAAAAACAGAAGAAAGGCCTTGCTGAATCAGTTAGAGAGTCTACAAATAGTCCTCAAGTTATACTCATTAATTCAGGAACTTCAAAGTTATGGCATGGAGAAAGAATTTATGACTGATCCTCAACGTTCTAGCCCAGGCTTGTCCAACCCGTGGCCCAGGGGCCGCATGCGGCCCAGGTCACCTTGTAATGCGGCCCAGTGCCCACCCCAACCTTCGTGCCAGAGCCAGTGAGGAGGAGAGGCAGGCGCGAGGCAGGGCGAGGCGAGCGCCAGGCCAAGCAGCAACAGAAAAGGCGGGTGCCGTCAGAGCGCCACCTCCTGCTGTTGCTGCCGCTGCTTCTGCCCCCGCCGCTGCTTCTGCCTTCCAGTCCTGCCTCATCCAGCCGGGCCATTTGCAAGAGGAGAGGTAGGCGCGAGGCGGGCAAGCTTTCTCCCCCCCCCCCCGCAAAATTTGGCCAGAAAATAAACCGTGATAAAAAATAAATAATTTTTAATAAATAATAAAAACATCTCACTAACTTCATTTCCAAATAAATTTAATATGTTAACTATGTTTTCTACGGTTTTTTTGGATGATCAGGTATCGTTACTGTTATTTTATGTGCGGCCCAAACCAAATTTTCATCTTCTAATGTGGCCCAGGGAAGGTGAAAGGTTGGACACCCCTGTTCTAGCCGTTGCATTGCCTGCAGTCATGATAAAAATGCAGGCCCGCCTGCATTCAGGATTGCCACCCTATCACCACCAGTTTATTTTTTGTTATCTTCTTGTCTAGGAAGAGGCAGGGCTCCCAGGGAAGCAGGCTGGCGGTTGAGAGCTATGGGTAAGGTGGCTAATTCTGTGAGTGGGCACTAGGGAACATGGAGCTTAATGCTGGGAAAAGTGGCGTGGGCCAAGACTGCTTGAAGGCCACTGCCAAGTAGTGCTGCTAGCAAGCCCCATGATCCCTAGCTCCCACAGCAACCCCTTGGCCTGTAGCTCTCGTCCACTAGTCTGCTTGCCAGGGATTCCTGACTGTTCTTACAATGGAGTCATGTGAAGTCCTCACATTATGGCTTCCATGATCCTGGGGCTATTGTTAGGAATGTAAGTCACCTAACAGGTATTTGGGTTAGAAATATATAAACCAGGATAAACATTTTAGTACTATATCTTTAAGGGAATGCAAGAGCATGCAATCAGGTGTGGTTTCTCAAACAGCCATAAGATGGAGCCAGAAACCTGGGTTGTTTAGTCTGAGTCTCAGAAGAGAGTAATACACACACAGTACACAGATACACTGTACAGTAAATGTACGTTTTTACTTCCAGAAAGGTTTAAGCAAAGTCCAAAATAAGCAATCCAAAATCATTCACAGGTAAATCAGTCAGTTTTTCAATCCAGGGATAATCCAAATATCAAAGTCCAGTGTCAAAAACAGTTCAGTAACAGACTTACATTAAATCCAGTAATATCAGTCAATTAGAAGAAATGGAGCAACGGCAATACTTTCCAACAGAAGGAAACAGAGATACACTCATATTCAAACACTTCTCTCAAATACGTCTCCCTGTATGCGCTCATTCTCCTAACCAGGAATTACCTCAACAGTTATGATGGCAACTGGGACTGTTTGTGATTTCTGCTGCTAAAGGATATAATCATACAATATGACAGTTTATGACTGCATTTATGTGTATGTCTATGTGTCTGTCTGTTTATCATCTATTTTGAACAAAGATGTTCAGAATTGCTCACCATCTGAATTTATTCTAATATATATATATATATTAGAGGTTAAAATAAAAGAACAAATTCCCCCAAAGAATGAGAAGCAGGAAGAAGTTATTATCAGACTTTATATTTTCGAGAATTCAAGTGAATCCTACAATTGTCACAAATAAAATGAAGACAATATTGAACCAGAGTTTCCTTACCTCTTGTTTCATTAAGCATTTGCCCAATTCAGTGAGCTCAGAGCTGGTTGATGGAGTCACCTCTGTGGACATCATTTCCTCATCTATCAGGGAAAATAATGTGAACCAGATTCATTATGAACCATATCTCGATCAGAATATCTGTTCCTTGAACAAGGCACAGATGCATCAAAAATGCTGGCTGGACACATAGACAAATGTATTTCTTCATAGTTCTGTTTATCTTGAAGTCACACTACCAGGAAGTGTCAAGAGGAGGCAGGTGACCTACAGAACAGCGAGCCAAAATATGGATCTTTGGGGATAATCAATTTGAGAAAAAAAAAACTGCAGCGAAGAAATACTGTTCCTGGAGCCATGGATTATTAACATTCTTACATCCATTTTTGGGCTGGAATATTGTGTCAATGATTCCTGAAGTGTGGCTTTGATTCCTTGCTAATAATTAAACTACTGAAGTGGTTAGCAATTCTAAAGGTATTTATAGAACAAGAAGAATAACTTCATTCTTAAAAGTAAGTTAGCCACAAACTTTTTATGCATGTAGGGCTAATTCAATTCAAATCTCAAGGGCAGCAGAATGAACAAGACATTTACCTACCATCACCATCTGCAGTAACTGCATTATTCTGCTCAGCACCTTTTTTTGACACACAGCAAACAGCTACAAATACATCAAAAGAAGATAAATATCAGAGTCAATGAGACATGATGCTTTCAAGAATTCCTTTCAATATCATCGAATTTTTACTTTGCAAAACTTTGAAATGTATCTTTCACTGGAAATCCCAGTTCATTAAAAAAAAAGGAATGCAATCCTTTTTTATATTAAGTGAATAAAATAAAACGTGATTCGGAGCATTATTTCCTCTAAGCGTCTTCTGAAATCACCATGGTAAGAGCATGGAATTCCAAGTGTTCAAGTTTGCTTTGGACATAATAATCAAGTGATAAAAGCCAAGAAGGAAGGAATAAGGCCAGACTTTACACCAGTGGTAGTCTACCTGGCCCCTACCGCCCACTGGTGGGCGTTCAAGCTTTCATGGTGGGCAGTAGGGGTTTTGTCTCCTCCTTTATAAATCACCATTACTGTGGAACCAGTGGGCAGTTAGAAAATTTTACTACTAACAGAGATAACAAAAGTGGGCCGTAGGTATAAAAAGGTTGACTACCCCTGCTCTACATGAATGTGTATTCTGAGAAATTCCTTATTAAACTATCGCACACTGCAGGGCATACTCTCAAGCAATTTTGATCTCGCATTTAGCAGCAAAGAATATGCTGTAGAAAATGGCTGATGTTTTTTTGCTGCTTATTTATCATTATCAATCTTTTCATCCTGAAGATCAACCTCCAAGAACAATGATTGCAAATAATTAGGCCTATCTTATTAACCTACCGCTGATAAAGGAACATCTTGATAAGATGAACAATAGCATTTTTGAAAATAAAACAGAGAGAATACTTAGACAATCCGGTAACTGTCAAGTATTGTAATATCTAAATCCCTGTAAAAATACTAATAGTATTCCTTCTGCTTAGGGAGTTGTGTTCATATATGACTCATTTCACCCACCGATTAGATCCATAACTTCTCGGGTGAGCATTCTAACCAGCTGCTCTTCCAACATCTCTTGAGATTCTGGATTGTCATCTACTGTATCTTCATCACTGTTAAATAATAAAGGAAACAGATTTTAGGATGGCAATAGTAACCTGAGGGGCACAACAGAAATCTGAGAGGCACAACCGATGCTGAATATTATCATATTACCAAGACTAAAATATTAATGAAAGATGGTTCATCTGTTCCATATAGTGATGCCCAGCCTGTTCTAAATGAGATTGCAATAGGATTAGGATCATAGCTTTGAGATATAATATCAGCAGCATCTGTGGCATAAAATATTTTTATATTTTTTTAAAAAAATTCAACTTGTCAAAATTTAACTGATAGGTAGGTTGTTGTCTAGGACTAGCCACCAAGTGAAACAAACAATTCTATTTTGTAAAAATAGTTTCACTGCTAAGTCAATTTAGAGGGCTGATTCAAACATTTAAAAGCTCTAAATAGTTTGAGACTGAGGTAACCAAACATCTTCCAAATGAGCCGTTCAGGTAAGTTAATGTGTTGATAATCTTCTGTGTTTCCACAATCAGAGATTAGACAGAACACAATTAGGGAAAAGCTTCTGCATTATGCCACCTTAGTTTTGAGTACTTCGTGCAAAAACATCTGTCAGCGCCAAAAGTACATACATTTTTGTTCGTCTACTTTACTCTGACATTGTCTTAGAAAAACTTACTGCTTTATGACCATAGTTGTCCCTTTCAGAAAAGGCTACTTCAGGCACAAAATGCAAAAAAAGAATAAAAAAATAAAATGTAAGTTTCAAAGAGCAGTCCTCTCCTCTTGTTTAAGCCTTACTTACCAAACCAAACTCCGCTGATTGATAACTTGCCATTTCTGAGACAGCCTCTGGCAAAAAAAAAGCAATATGACATAAAGGATTTCAATTATATACTGTATACTTGGAGCTTTGAATGTTCTACACCAAACCATGTCAAACTCAGTGACAGAACAAACTGAATTCAAGTGACCTGTTCACATTATGCAAGTCACTGAAGTTACCTAATTTATTCCCCTTTGGTTATTACTCTGTTCTTTACAAGAGTTATAAAAAGCACTGAAATCTTTGTTTACAAAACATCATTGCATTTTTCAGAGTTTTAAGTATTTTGGAGGTTAATTTTATATAGTATGAATTTCACTGGCTACTTCAGTGGCCAACACTTCTCAATTTACTCTGCTTTATAGGGCATAAAGATGATCTCACATTCCATGTAAAACTTATCCAGAAGTTTAAGGCCAGAGAGAGAAAACTACATGGTATTACTGATATCCCCAAGACAGTATCTATTCTTAGTACTTGTTATGAAACAACAACACAACACTGTTTTCAATATAATATGCTTCCGGGTCGTCAAAAACTCTGAAGTATACTATAAGCAGGTAATAACAGCTAAAATATTATAAATTAATAAAGAAAGCATCCCAAATTAAGTTTGGGATCATCTTAAATCCTTACCAAGATCTGCTTCTTATAAGCTAAAGCTTTGAGCAATAGTAACTTGTATCTATTAACATGAGAGAAACACATGGGGAGTATGCATTCTGTCATTGTGTTTTTGGTCATTTCCAATCATATGCAAAAATATCTCTAGGAAGTTTGTCACAACATCACATCTAGCAAAATCCTTTGCTTAAGCAAAGTATAATAGCTCTATGACAAATACCAGGAAACCAAGAACAGGTGTGATCTTGGTTTTTTCTAATTAATTAAGCTAACATTTTCAAAATTTCACCACCAAAAACTAACTCTCTCTTTCAGTATTCTCAGACACAGCATTTCCTTACCATATGTAGGTAGGTGAACAGAGGTCCAAGTATAGGGCAGATTAAAGATTCGTAGTATTCAGGTGGGCAGGAGATAACCAAAGGTTTCACAAAAACACCTTGCATGAAACTAGTTAAAGAAGTGGAGCAGCACAAATACACATCTGTATTTCCCCCATTGAAAACCATTAGTTTCATCCAGTCATGGCAATTTCTGCTCTTGAACTGATACGAACAACACAAAACAATTTTGCTTCCAGATATCTCAGAACAGGCAGATGCACTCATCTCTGAATTTTTCATAAATCAGATTTTTTTCCAACACCCCTACCCCAAATTTGGAAGAACTATAAATAAAAAGCAAACAAAGGATACGAAGCAAAGGGCGGAGTCTGTAGTCAGGAATATTGTCCAGATTGATGAAGGCTGAGTTGAGGAGCTCGACTGCTAGACCCTCAACAACATAGAAATCTTGCTGCATGGATGAGCCAGCACTACCCAGAATGTGGAAACTGCAATTCAAAAGGTACAGTCTAGAACTGAATAAATTATACATTCGGCAGAAGAGCGAAAGGGTGCTCTGCTTTGAAAAGTTTTCTTGTACTTTTTTATCTGCGCAAAGTAAAATTGGGATTTTGGATCAGGCCAATTTCCATCTAGCCCACTTACATTTCTTTCTTGTTATAGCTGTTATAACAATCAGTTCCAAGAACATATAAATCCAGCTGGGTCAAAGAAAGACCTTCCTTTTCCCATAGTGGAAAAGTAACAGAAAGCCCACATGTGAAGTAACATAGCATTATAAAAAATCTATGGATTTCTTACCAATTGTCATAGAGTGTACAGAAGAACCCCTGCATCCTTTCCAAGGCTGTTTTGTAAACAGGAGTGTCATAAAATTCCAGCAAAGGCTGGGGGAGACCTAACAAAAGAGGAAATAGTGTCAGCAATCTCCCAGTGGGAAGATTCATCTATTCAGGCAGTGACCTAAAGCAGTTCTGGCTACCAAATTTACTTGTGGATGTCTGGAATAGGTCAATTTGGAGCATGATTGCTTTTAACTTAAAAGTTGAGAGAAGCGGCAGTGAAATGTGATGCTTTCAGAGTGCAGTTATAAACAAAACAATGTTTTTTCCTGATTTTTTTTTTCTTTTTACAAAATAACTAATTATAATCATGTCCGTGGAGACTTCTACCTGCTTGAAAACTAATGTAATTCATGATGCACTGAAATCCAAATAAATTTAGAGCAGAAATATCCTGCAGACATAATATTTGTGAAATGAAAATAAATCTTTCCAGGCTTATCTGCATTTTACAAACTTTATATAATAAAAATTATTTGTAAAACAGAAGTAGCTTCAGATCCTTGTCCCATATACAATTAACTTGTTCAATAGAATGTGATGGGCATACCACAAATATTTTGAAAGAATGCTAGTGTCTTGAGTTTTTTGAAGACTTATCAAGTCAAATTATTTAGCAGTTTCTACCTTATTTGTTAAAAAGATGGGGAGCTGGGGCTGAATAAACATGATAATTTAAAAAATACTTTGACTGGGGATAAGCAAGTTTTAAACCAGTCACATGCTGGTAGTGCTCATTTCTTTGCTACAGGCAGTTTATGTGACTGATGCAAGTAGACTTCAACAGTTCTCTGTAAAATTATTTTGCCAGTAGCCAAGGATAAAGAGATACACTCCTGAGAAAACCGGACAGACCTGTAAATTTATGAGGGGAGTTTGGCTTTGGTTTGAAAGGAAGTAACATCCCTCCAAAGTACTTGGGGTGGAGATCATTAAAAGCAAAAGTGATGCAGACTTGACTATTAGCTGTTGTAGTCTGTCAGGATCCTAACTGCAAGAGGAGACCTTACAGAAAATGAGTAGGCATTGTTGTCCTTGCAAAGATGAATCATAGGCATTGTTGTCCTTGCAAAGATGAATCACAGGCATTGTTGTCCTTGCTAAAATGGATTAAAAACTCACCATTTTGCAAGACTAGTTTCTCCACTTTTGATAACCAGTATAAATTGCTAAATCTCTTCCTGTAAAAAGCCACATCTAATACAAAACGGCAAGCAAGAATTTGAATTCCTAGCAACTTAGAGAAGTCAAGCCCAAGGTGATTTTGGAAGGAAAAGTTCAGATTTAAACTTAAATTCTAAAAAACTGAAAGTCCGTAAAAGTCATGTAAAGTACTGCAAAACAGTGCCTTGCTTAGTGCACATGAAATACAGTGGACATTTCTATATGAACATTCTCTGCTGTAATAATGGATTTGGTAAATACAATGTAATCTGGATGAGGTCTTTTTGCTAAATTATATTTACTTGATTTGCATAAATTTGTCATTTATATACTAATATCATTATGCAAGAGATCTATATCATCCCAAATGATATATTTTGCACTGGCTATGAGCTGATATCACAAATGTGCTTTCAGCTTCTATGGATGTCTTCTTTCCTCAAACAGCCCATTAAACAGAGGCATTATTGCATGTGATAACTGCGCTGGGATGACTCGGAGAAGGGGGTATGTGGATTAGATAGGTCGTGTTACACTTGAAAGCAAGGAAAGCCGTACTGCGAAAGGAAGAAGGAGAAAGGGGCATATTTTTTGTCATATCTGCCTTGCCAGACCACCTGAAATTTGTCTCATTCAAACTTAGGAAAATCAGAGGTTCTGGGTTTGGGTTCGGCTGGATCATTTGGCCCAGCCTAATACAGATGGTCCTTGACTTACAACCATTCATTAGTGACTCTTCAAAGTTAAAATAGCTCTGAAAAAAATTAACTTATGACCATTTTTCACCTTACGACCATTCAACACCCCCATAGTCACGTGATCAAAATTCACCCGCTTGGCACCTGACTCATATTTGTAACCGCTGCAGTGTCCAGGGCTCATGTGACCCCCTTTTACAACCTTCTGACAAGCAGGTTCAATGGGGAAGCCAGGTTCATTTAACTGTAACACTTAACTGTGTTACTAATTTAACAACTGCAGTGATTCCCTTTAACAACCGTGGCAAGAAAGGTTATAAAATGGGGCAAAATTCACTTAATGGTCTCTCTTAGCAACAGAAATTTGGGGCTCAATTATGATCGTAAGTTGAGGACTCATGTGCCAAGTGACATTTCCGCCCTGTAAGAAGTAGCTACTTACCAAGGATGTTATTCTTCTCCACTTCCATCATGTCTAAGGTCTTTGCATAGTTATCTCCCAATTTAGCCACCAACTCTGGCATATACAAATTGTTGTGGGTCCTGGAAGAAAATGTGATATTTTACAATCACAAGTTGTATCTAAGAGTTACCCTGTGGAAGTCCGCCTTCAGCTTGTAAACAGCTCCTGTATCTGGTGAGGAGGAAGGTGAGACCAAGCACTTGTGCATGGGATCCCCCTTCCTTACCAATAAAAATCGTCCCTGCCTTGGGCATATGGAGGAATCTCCAGTTTGTGTGGAGGATTCATGGTACTCCAAGCAACATTTTGCTCCACTTTGCCTGGCCTTGGCCCTCTGAAGCGCTGGCTGCAAGGACCCACGCAGGACACACTGCCTCCCTAAGGATGGGTCACGGTGCCTAGAATGGCAGGTGGCTCTGACAGAATGCAGCAGCTCATGAATGCACTCACAGGCTATAAGCAAAGTTGTGGCAGAAAGATGCCCCCCCTGAAAGGCAGGACAACTCTGCATTAACCACACCATGCTGCCAGGGAAGAACCTCCATTCAGCCTAGGGTGACTTCTTTCTTGCCATCCAGGCTAAAGAGGGACCCCTCAGCAGCTGGATGGACCATCTGAGTGGGGAGGAAGGGTCTCTGTCTCACCTACCTCTCTCCTTTTGAGACCTCAGACCTCCACTCAGGGCTTCGGTAACTGCACACAGCACAAATTCTGCAGCCAAGGGGCCCAACAGCCTTCGCCAAAATTGCCTCTGTGCCTGCCGCTAGAGGCGATCAAGGGTAACTCAGACTGTTCCCCCTAGAGGAGCAATCCCCCAAAGTAAGAGGGTGCAGGGAAAGAAAGGACTAGGTCGTTGGGTGGCAGGGGCAGGCCTCCCAATTGCTCTCCAGAGTCTCAGCTGTCATTTTTAGAAGTCTCTAAAAGAAGTCTCTATATACTTGTGAAGAAACGGGACCAAAGAGAAACCAATTGCAGCGATGTCTGCCTGAGCTTGCAGAGGGCCTGGAACAATAGTTCTGAGGTGTGAACTGCCCATTCATTTCAAAGGGTGCTAACAGAGGCTGCAAGAAAGGAGAAGCATCACATTATGAAGAGAGAGTGACTATTTCTTTCGGTTAAGCCTTTAAGCACCAGAGTAGGGGCTTAAAATCATATTGCAATAGATAAAATTGGCTTTTATGCCAAGACTTTTTTTTTTTTAAAGACAGAATATGTCTATGGAGATTCTCAGTCATTCAGGTCATCGTTGTCCCAAAGGTGCTTTTTTTCAAGAGGTTTTTTCTTTGAAGACGTTTTGTTTCTCATCCAAGAAGCTTCTTCAGCTCTGGAGAAGCTTCTTGGATGAGAAGCGAAATGTCTTCAAAGAAAATCCAGAAAGTCCAGTTGCCTCTTGAAAAAAGCACCTTTGGGAAAAAGATAGAACAGGATTTCCAAACTCGTGGAACTGACCAACATTAGATTGAGCCGCATTGGACAGCATATGTAAAGCACGAGTAATACTGTCTGCATTGGCATGAAACAATATATCCTCCTCAAAGCTTACTAGTAAAGCTATCCTCACAAGAGTATTGCTCTAGGAAAAAACTGGAGGGTGGGGGGTGATGAAGAGAATGCTCTCATCCTTAGATTTTTTTGGGGGAAAGCCATTAATTCCTTCCAGATTGGTGATAAGGAACACTTCTGCGCTATGGATATGGATGTGGTAGCTGTTTCTTGAACAGCTGCTCTTTTGTTAGGTTTGTGGTCTCATTTATTTTAATGTTACATGGTATTGCTTTTGAGCTGTAAACTGCTTTGAGTTTGATTGGATTGAACAGCATGTACTGTTGCAAATAAATATGTAAATCATCTTAAGTTCCTAGAGGACAGGAGGGATGTAAACCTGGTAAATAAATCAGTAAGATACAGGAGTTTGTCAGAGGCTAAGTTAAATGTGTCACATTAATCTCTGTTACTTCTGGAGTTGAAGAATGCCGAAGAGCTGAAGACATATTTTTAATGTTCTGTCAATGTGACTGACTACAACTTAATGCAGTCAGTATTTCTAAACATATACTGCAATCAAAATGGTGTGTGTGTGTGTGTGTGTGTGTCTGATACTTTAACTATCAAAAATTGATATTGAAAAAGATTTGATATTTGAAATAACAGTGAAAGTTGCTGCATTAGCTTCAGGGGAAAGCAAAATTCAAGAACAGTCACTGAAAGATACCTTTCACTGACCTGCAAATTCTTTTCCCATGCTAGATAGCACTCAATGGAATATCAATTAAATTTATAGCATGGCAGTGAACATTTTGGCAATGCCATCAATTTACTTCATGTGTTTTACATGTCCCCAAATTGTGTAGGAAAAGACTATGATACTCAGGACCACTTTGGATGTTTATCAAGATCACACATACAATGCCATTTTAAAAGATGTAAATTTTGCCCGGAAGGCATTTCCTTATCCTTTTCAGAGTAGCCTAACCCAGCTCGCACAACCTTGCTGACCCTTTAAAATACCCTCTCCTGTTCCTCATCCAGTCTCCTCGGCTGCCCTCTTCCCTTTTGTTCCTGCATCTTCATAATATCAGAATGGTGGCTGCAGGAAGGAAAATCAGGGTAAAAGAGTTAGATTGCCTCTACAGGTTATTTAAAGAATAATTTGCATGGTGACCACAGAACAATTCTGCATCTGCATGCATGTGATTTGATTTTCTGGCAGGCTATAAAAGTCAGGCCTAGAGGGAGATGGTTGCCATACAAATTTCTATGAGTTCTGTGCAACAGGTCCAAGTAGCTGTTATTTTGGCCAAGAAAGTTCTAATTAAAAGGTACAGAACTCAAATCTGAAGCAGGTGTGCTTTGGATCTGCCATGAGTACTATACAGGTCGTCCTCACTTAATGACCACTTGTTCAACGATCACTCAAAGTTATGAAAGCACTGAAAGACGGGTCTTATGACAGGTCCTCAAAACTGAAGTCGTCGCAGTGTCCCATGGCCATGTGACCACTATTTGCAACCTTCACTGCTGGCTTCCATCAAGCAAAATCAGGAAGTCACAAGCTGGGATCACGTGACATCACCCTTAATAATCATGCCTGATGCCTTTAATGACTGCAAATGTGATTGTAAGTCATTGTAGTCATACATCTTTTCAATTTACAACCACCTTGCTTAGTGATGGAATTCTGCTCCCAACTGTCATGATTAAGTGAGGAAGACCTGTAACTCCTTAGCTCTGTAAAGGAGAGGAAGCCTTTTCTTGGCCCACCTATAGCTATGTAGGCTCACAGATACGCGTGCATCAGAAACAGAAATCGATCATGTGTTAATTACTTAATTTAGCCGACCATTTTCTTGAACCTGGGTACTACCTATAAGCCCAAGAAAAGGTGTGGCCCCTTCATATGTACAATGAGGGTTAATATGTACAATGAAGGTTCTACTCTGGAAGTCCAAATGCTGCATTAAGGTCTACTTTTAGCAAATTAAAGCATGCAAAAAGACAGCAATAACTAAACTACAAGGTGTATTAGAAATAATTACTAATGATACTTTTCCTTCAGACAACAGAAAAGGAAAAGACCCGAGAAACACCCAACAAGATGTGAATAAGCAGCCACCACAACAGTTCAACTAAGAGCAACTTTTACTGCACCGCAGTAGATTCCCTAAATAAAACAGCCTTCATTGAGTTCAGTTTTGTGACGTGTATACATTTTTCTCTTCCCAATGACACAGCTTTGGAAGTTTATATTATACTCATAATTTTTTTTTTTTTTGCAAATGGTTAGCTGTATTCAGAACTTCACTTGTCACACAGAACCCAAATTTCCATGTGAGAAACCCAAAGAAGAGCCATTTACTCAACTCTTCTCATTCAAGCTGGAGTGATTTAAGCTGGGAACCAGTTGTGGACAAGCACAGTTTACCTCCACCAAAGCCACCAAGACACAAATACGAGGCATTTAAATTAAGGAGGATAGATGCCTCTGTAGTTTAATTATGTCAAGAAAAAAATATCAGCTGACATGAGACTGCAATGCTTCAGAATAGGGATAAAAACACATTCTGAAAGACTTTCCTATGAAAGAAGAGGAAGGCTCTAGCTCATGGGTGTCCAACCTTGGCAACTTTAAGACTTGTGGACTTCAACTCCCAGAATTCCTCAGCCAGCAAAGCTGAGTTGAAGTCCACAAGTCTTAAAGTTGCCAAGGTTGGACACCCCTGCTCTAGCTCAAACCATAGTTCTATATTATAGGGGGCTTCCTTTATAAAGAATACATTATAAGGACATAAAATGATACAAAATTTGTAGCATGAAATGGTCTATCCTATCATCTTTGAAGTTTCCCAACTTAACACTTCTCAACTTAAGACTCACGTTGTTTTTACAAACATACAGGCACCCATATTGCTTGTTTCCTGCAAATTGAGACAGTCATGAATACTGAATTTTGCTTTTATTTTGTACCTTATAGTTACCTGGATAGTGGATTATGCATCCTAGTTAGTGGAATGTAGGCAACAGTATGCTGATTAATCAGATAAACCCTGGATTAGTTATTCTAGTTTGCATAGAGAAGTATACATATGTTTGGAACAAAAACTGGCTTTGATTGTGCTTGTGAAAGAATGTGTCAAACATGACCACTACTTTATCCTTACAGTTAACAGGAAATGCTGTCTGTGCCATAGGTCCAACTAAGAATGGTAATCTAATGTACACTTGCTTTATCTTGATAAAATTTATTATATTAGAGCTACTATGGGCAGCAACACCCAACGTTACGCCTCACATTTGTTGGCAAGATGTAGATGATTACAACTTGGATTGTACAAGATATTCATGGTAGAGGATGTCAATGAATATTTGTTAAGGAAAAAAATGATACATCCCATTTTTGTGAACCAAGGCAAAAGAACTAGGGTATATATCAAATTATTTGAACTAGTGTCATCTAGATTGTTTGGTATGGATGAAAATAGGAATTGATAGGTTAGTGAAAATGCATGTTATGTTGTAGAAGAACCAGGGTTGAGTTGTAAGAAAAATTGTACAAGATTTTGAATGAATGTTAACCCAAATAACATTTCACCCCAAAATTGTTCTGTTACAATGAATGAATGGGAACAAGTACTGATAATATGATTAGATCATTTGGAGATCCAATAATGAATAGTAAAGGTGATTATTTCATGAATATCAGTTTAGAAAAGTCTGCTTCAAATATGCAGTTTATAGAGTACATAAGTCTATTCTTATGTACACATGACAAAGGAATGTAAAGCATGTTTTATTTTACTGTTTGTAAGATTAAAGTAATTAGTAATTATAAGCCCTAAAAGAGGAACAGATCCTTTTTTGACATTAACAGTGAAGCTAAGGGAAAAAATGAATAAACTGAAAGTAGAGAAACTAGAGCAAAAATGTAATATATTACAGAGTTTACCTATAATGGCTTATCTTAATGTATCATAGGAAAAATCTCTCTTTATCTGACATCATATTTTGTAAAGCCATTTTCTTTTAAAGTATCTTACTTACACTAGAATAAAACAATCCAATTGGAGAGATTAACAATTAAATTTCAGTCGTATCTTTTCAGATGTCATCATGGTAAATTCAGTAATTTGCTTCTGAGAAAGAGTATACAGCTGGCTGAGAGTTTTAATCTTAAAGCTTGTGATAGGCACATATGCAAAACTGATGCTAACAGAAGCCACCATTTCAAGGTCAAAAACTCTTATCTTTCACTTTAAAAAGGCTGTGCCTGATGCAGCAGCTCCCTTTTCACTCCAATACTGGCCAAAAAAAAAAAAAAGGAACTACATAAGCTAATACTATTAGAAGTGCAGGAACACTGTTCTCTTTGGATCTGGTCATTCTAGCAAACTGCATACAAGTAAATATTGTTCCTCTGAATTAGTTTGGAATGATACTCTCCACTCCAAAGTTATGGAAGATAAATTTATTTTATATGAGACTGTACTATCAGATCAGTACTGAAGTTTCATTTGATTATTCCTCTTTCCCTCAAGATAAACACACAAAAAATATTCCCAGCAGAGAGGCTGCTCAAATACAGAGAGCCACAAGATATTTTCCAATAGTGCCCTACTCCCTCAAGACAAACTTACAGGCTTCATACACAAAATCCTTCAACAACAATAGATACACGAGAAGCAAAGAGTTATCATATAAGACTGAAGAGATGACTTGACTGACAGGATTCAAAATGTACAAAGACTATTAAGAAAAGCTAGTCTTAATTTTGTTATGGGAAATTGGAAGACTCCCACAAAACATATAGTCCAATTGGCAGGTTAAAGCCAAGAGTTCTTTCTTCTACTCTACTCTTTACTATAAAATATTTCGACAGATGCTACCATTCACTTTAAGGGGAAGTATGGAGTACATTGACTATGAAACGAGAATTGTGTCATATTGACCCACCTGATCAGAGCAAGCAAGTTGTCAAAAAGTTTCAGGATCTGCACTGAGCAGGGGTTACGGTAGATTGGATTGCCATTAGGCGTATATCCCACCACAAATCCTCCAGCTTTTGCCTCTTCTAAGGAAGTGGGCCAACGAGATCGTTTTATAACTCCCAGAATTGTGTATACACAAAAGCTTATCTATACAGAAAGTAAAAGACACAGAAATTACTTACATTATCCATACTCACGTTTTCCTCTTATTCTAGAGCCTTCTCTAGTCGTCTCTCTTCTCCTATTTATCATTACATTCCAAGGTCTTCTAGGCTCTTCACAAAACATAGCTTTATATAAATGGGTCATTTAAAACCCAAATTGAGAAAGCCTGAGCATATTTAGCTGATATAAAAAGATAATTTCTTGTAAGGAAAACTGAGTGCCCTTCAGGGAAGCTCATATCTCAACTCTGAAAAGATCTTGTAGAACAACAAACTGACTGAGGCAATGTTAATATTCTATATATGCCAAATAGTGGGAAAAGAAGCAAGTAGCAAATCTAAGAATTTCAGATTAATGAGCTTAGGTCTATTATGTCCCATCTTGAAAGAAGCCAACTATTACGGTATTATGCAATAGGAAATATTTTAGTATTTAGGTAATCCCCTTCCAACTAGCACCTAGATAAGGCAAATAACTGTAAGTTTACTTGGGCCCACTTAAAATTACACAAACAGAAAGACAACCAAAAAGACCTACTGTGATTTCGTCTTGCCCAAAAGCATGTGTAGATCTAAGCATATCTGTGTTCAGATCACACATCATACTTACTGTATTTCCAAAGACTATCCACTACTCACTAAAGGTAAATTTTCAGTGTTATGATCAAATCTCCTTTTCTAATTTCCATATTTTCTGACAACCTAATACTCACTCTGGAACGATTCAAACCACAGGGATCTTCCACGTTGGGATCTACAATCCTACTATCAGCACCAACATACCGGATAAAAACTTCAGGATTCATAAGAATTCTGTGTGCGATAGCAGAAAACAGAGCCACAAACATATTTCATTTCAAACAAATCAATTCAATCTAATCAGCTATGGAAGCTAGTTGTCATGAAACACTATTATTAAGTTAGATCCATGAATACTTGTGATGTTACTTAAATCTAGTGACAGATTAGAGCAAACTAAGATAAAAAGATTTATAAGTTGAAATCCAAACAAGGACCTCATTAAACTGAACAGGATGGATTTCTGAATATGTATGCATAAAATAATGCTATTAGACATCATCCTGTCTACAATCTAATCTCAATCTGGGTTATAAATGACTTTGCTACAGTATCTCACTCAGTGGACTATTCTATGTGCCTTTCTTGCAATTTTCTATGAAAATGGTTTTAAAATTGAAAAAGGTGATCCCTATGTTTCTTTGCATACAAGTCTGCATTTTTTTTGCATTTGCATGTCTCTTAATTTTAATTTCTCACAGTAAAAGATGAAAGATATCAATTTTTATTCACAATAAGTTAGCCATTTATCCTTTTAACCTAAATCCCACTTTAACCATGAAACCAGCTAGGTGACTTTGGGCCAGTCACTCACTCTCAGACCAACTCACCTCACAAAGCTGTTGTGAGGAAAATAAATGGACAAAAGTATGTTGGATATATTCGCTGCTTTGAGTTATTCATAAAAATAATAAAGGCAGGACATCGATAAATAAAAATAAATTTCGACCATATCAGATTGTCAGTGGAAAAAGCCCACACATTCCATACTATTTTTATCAACATCATCCATCGATATTAAGCACATTTTCTCTTCTCATTGTTAACTTTCAAATATCTTTGATGCACCCATGGAGTTCATATATTGTAAATGGTGTGGAGTTGCCTATAATTCTCAGTTCCTGCAATAATATTCCATCACAGGTATAAAATGACTGCCATGGAACTCTGCTTTTCTAAACTCTCCTGAAAACTGGAAATAAATGGTAATCAGAATAACTGAATTGATAGGCTTCATTTCTACAGTACTGTGTGGTGAGTTTTCCAAAAATGATCCTGCCATTGAAAAGGAGCTGGAAGTTGTGAACTGAATGGGAGGAGTAGCAATAGAAGCTTATACCAAAGACATGTATCTCTTTCCTCTTTTGTACTCCACTTTATTCTGGAGGCAACTTAAACATTTAGATTAGAAAAATTTCTAAAGGTAAATAACATTTAATAAATGCCATTTTCCTGCACACTTAACTCAAAACAAGGAAAGCTTTAATAAATGCCTGCACAAAAGCATTTCTTATGCACAACCACAATGAATTAAAATCACTGCATACGTGTTCATAGCAAAGCCCAGCACAGATCTGTAGGGTTTTGTTTTTTTATATTGGAGACTATCAGGGGACTTGATTAAACTTTTCATACCTTTTCATCTCATCAGATAACCAAAGTGTAGCAACAGGAGCCATGAGCTCTTCCAATAAAGTTTTTTGCCGCTGATAATCCTTAAATTGGTTGCTAATTAGGACCAAGGCTTCCATGAGAGCACACTTCTCCATCTGAGTCAGGAGCAGCTCATTTGATAGCAGCTGCTTCACATGGTTATACAGCATGTCAAAGTTAGGCTATAATTAACAGATTCAAGCAACTGTTGGTTAAGTGAAAACACCATACAACATTAACTGCAAGGATATCTTTTGTACTACAAGAAGTAATATTTCAAGATTAAGAGCCACCTCCAGTTCAGTTCTGACATGTTTTAGAGAGGGCAAAGAGTTTGTTTATGCTGGTTGTGATAAAGTTTGAAAATTTGCTCTTTAGATATTTTTCTTTATTCTTATTCTTCTCTTTTTCTTTCTTCTTTTCTTGCACTTTTTACTCCTATTTTCTTTTAGTTTGTATTAAATGTTACTATTATAAACATTCTTAATAAAAATTATGTGCACCCCCCCTCAAAAAAAAAGAATTAAAGTCTCTTATCACTTATGTTTCGCTGAAAGGCCACACAATTCAAAGGCCATACAATCAGAGAGTTAGATGAGAACATATTAGGCCTTTGAGAACTATCTCCTGCTCAATACAGGGATCCAAACTGAGGTGTGCTTAACAGATGGCAGGCCAACCTCTGGTTGAACAAATCCAGTGAAATAGAGAATCTGGGTAACTGGTTCCAATAAGAACAGGATCTGATCTTATTAGAAGCTCCCCCGCTAATTTTTAAAATTTAGTTTTAAGGATCTGCCTTCTACAAACATTTTGTGTCTGAAATGACAAACTGAGTTTTGATCCTTTTTGGTCTGATAACCTCTTGTATATTTAAAGAGTATTGCCACATTGTTCATAGGATAAAACATGTCTAGGAAATTTGTTATGGATTCCCAGCAACTAATTTTTAGTGTCTAGCCATCCACTGATCACCATTCACATTGCCTTTCTCTAAATTAGAATTTATTTGAATTTCTCTTAAGGTTTGGCTCTAGAACTGCAGTCTGCTGTTATAAAGCTCCATCCACATTTTCATAGATACACTGCATACACACTGTAATCTAAGATAATTCATAACTATGTACTTGCTATGAAAACAACCAAATTATTCTTGAAAACCCAAGCTGGCCTGTTTCTCACTTCCATTAAGACTTCTAACACTAATGAAAGTCAAAAACCAATCATGATTTCTTTTTGTACTAAAACAAACAAAAATCTATTATTTAAACTTGCTTTGCTACAGACTACAAACAAAGAGCTTATCTTAGTGAGCTCTAAAACATCGACTAAAAATAGCTACCTCCAAAATAGCTCAAGTTAGAAAAACTGTTTCAAGCTGAATAAAATGCAATTGAATACCAGAACAAGTTGAGGGTAATCCCGACAGATCTTGATGATGGAGGAGCAAGCATGTCTTCTCACATTCTTTACTGCACGGGTTCTTGGTGCCTGGACAGACAAATTCAATTTAAAAGCAGCATTGTATTCTACCTGTTTTAGCAAACAAAGCTTCTTTAAGAATTTAATACATTTTACAAGCTATTAAGTAAAATAATCCAAAACAGTTTTAAAAGAAAGCAATTTTCTAAAACTTCTGTAGAACTCTAGCACAACTGCCCTGGTTTGGAGAACAAACCTATCCAAACCTCTAATGATGGCAGAACTTTTAACGTGATGCCCTACATTTATCATTGATCATGACAGGGGGAGCTATTGGAATTCTTTTTTACAGTGAATTCTGCTTTTGCTCTTAAGAAGGGATAGAGAATTTGCAAGGCTCTTAAAACTATTACCTGACAATTTCCCCCCCAGCAACCATGCTAGTGTCTGAGATTTCAAAACTACCTACACAGCTCATTATGTTTACTTTTAGTAGAAAATTGATATTCCCAAGATACTTAATTGTATATTGAATATAAAAATACCTGTTGTATAAGACTTGCTTTGCAGTGGAAATTCTATGAATGAAATCTGTTTCTAAAATTTAGTATTATTGCAAAAATGGCTACTCAAATTTTTGTTTTTCCACTATGCTTTAATTTATTTAGTTACCAAATTTTTGTACCACCCATTATATGTATATGCCTCTGAGTGGTTTACAAATAAAAACTTCACAGTTTGAAGTGTTTCAATCCTATTTTCCCTGGCCACAGTAGAGCTTGGCCATTGAAGTACCCTTCTTATTTCATAGTCTCAATATAGATTTCATAGATCTAATATAATCAAAATGACTTTGCTCTGCAGTTTCACCAGGAAACCTCATCCTCACATTTATGAAGTGAACTTACCTTGCTTTCTTCTACAACTTCAAAGGTGACAGAGGCAAACAGCTATGAGAACAAGAGCAAAAAGTTACCAATCATTTCATGGGAACGTATTTTCTCTTTATGTAAAATGCTGCCCCCTAAAATTATTTAATGATTAAATTGTTCCTATTTTTATTTTAGGATAAGATTTCTATTACAAAATCATGGGCATGTTTTTCTCCCCTCTCCCTGCGAAGCAAATTCATAGAAATAATTAATAATATACTTTAGTGAATCTTTTCTAGCACTGCTTCACAATTCCAAGGCTACATTGAAAAAGCTGTCTGCCTAAGTAGGCAACTTGGGCCTCATTCACTAATGAAACCAGGAGAGAGGGGGAGGCAGTCTCTGCAGATATTAATTCTGCTGCACTCAAAGATTGTGATTCCAGCACCTTCTGTTGGAGTTCTTAAACAATTTCATACATCATTAAGCATACTAAATCCCTCTCTGTGCCTGTGGTGGAACATAGGAACACATTGGGAAAATCAGTCATGTAGTATAAATCAAATGATATGAACACTGAACAATTTAAAAACTAACAGCTGGACTTGAGCCTCAGATAATCAGTCAATTACAACATTGGCTACAGGGATTATTTCCTCTTGATCTCCAGTACATTCAAAAAAACCCTTTCCCTATCCTAGAATGTTGAAAAACTTGAGTTACCTTGAACATACGAATGTGTTGTATGGAACATGGCCTACGTCTAGAACTAAAATAGCCCCTTCTTTATTACCCAAGAAATTGTATATTCTGCACACAGAAATGAAATTGAGTCTCATATTATATGTTACATTCCCCCACCCTCTCTCCATGCAATTTGAGCCCTGCTTCCTTTAAATACCTGTTTCCTTGGGCATTTGGATGAGGGCACAAGATATTGGGAGGCTTGTGTTTGCTGGATTTGTTTGTTTTGTGTCCTGTGATGACTTGTATCTTTTTTTAGTTAACACCTGGAAGAGTGTTAATTGTGACTGACCTGAATCTTTTAGTTAACACCTGGAAGAGTGTTAGCTTACATAAGCTAACTCTTCCTATTTCCTCTTTACAACCTGCGAGTTAAAAATTTCCGCTCTAATCTCAATGACATACAGGTAGTCCCTGTTTAATGACCACAACTATAACCATGGTCTGGGTTGTTGAGTGAAGCAATTGCTAAATAAGATGCCCAAGTGACTACTTCATTCAATGACAATGATCTCAGCACTCACTGTTACAGCTAATCTCAAACAGAATTCCTTTCTGTGCATGGGGTGTATGTGTGTTAGACTTTGTGAATGCTTGGATTTCAACTTCTGAGATTAAAGCAGGCAGGGAGACTCTGTGGGACTTTCCATGGAGAAGGAGAGACTCCATACACGCTTGAATTTCTGTTATCAAGGTTCAAGCAGGCACAGAGCTGAATGTCCTTCTCTTCGTGTCTCCGCATAGCAGTGAAATAGATTCCAGAAACCCAATGTTTACTGACTGTAATAGAAAACATTTACCTTGACAATAACTTCTGGCAGGTATTCTGGTCTATACGTAACAAATGGGAAGAGCGCTGAGACATTAGAAAGGATGCAGGACAGAATCAGGGGGTCTTTTGTTTCAAAGCCAAGGACAAGTTGCAATAGTTCTATGCCTTGAGAAACTGGGATTTTCTGGGATAGGAAGAAAATGGACAGTGATCATATATCTTTTTGCTTCATACAATATCAGTATTTGTCAAAAAAAAAAAATCTCATAGGTCTGACTAATTCTAACTGGACAATTTTAATAGAAAGTAGAGGGGGTGCTTAAGGCACCAAGAATTCTTCAAAACACACAGAAGTTCCTTGTTGTAATGAGGCCCTGGGACGCACAAAAAAGATGCTGGTATTGCCACACACGGTCCTTGAATTGCATTGTTGTTATGCCCACCTTATAGCAGCTGAATTATTACAGGAAATAATTTTTGGAAAACTTGAAAATAATTTTAGGAATACAAAGATATATGTTAGTCTTTGTAATTCCAAAGGTACTTTTTCAAGAGGCAACTGGACTTTCTTGTTTGAAGATGTTTCACTTCTCATCCAAGAAGCTCCGTCAGCTTTGACTGGATGGTGAAAGAAAAACCAGCAAGTCCAGTTGCTTCTTGAAAAAGTACCTCTGGGGCAACCATGACCGGGGATGACTGAGAATCTCCACAGACATTCAAATTTGTAAGCTAGATCCCATTTTTTTCATCCATAAGTAATCTTCAGTTAGTTTTGGTAATTGGGACTGGAATTTCTGTCTCTAAACAATCGTGGATGTAAAATGCAGTATCATGTGATTGCATCACTTAGCAACAGTAATCCCTGTTGCTGTGGTTAAGCAAGGTTTGTGAGTCATTAAGCAAGGAAATTTCCTTGCAAATTTCCCAACAATCCAAACCAGTGGGGAAGCCATCAGGAAGTTGCACGTTCCAGGCAGCTTGCAAGCAGGCTGGCAGGCAGATAAGGGGAGGGTAGAGAAGGGTATGTGAAGTCCTGTGTGGCATGAGAGAAAAGTTTGGGAGGCTGCTGCGGAATAGGGAGAGGATGCAAGGATCCAGTGTGGTGCAAGGCTTTGGGTGGGTGCTGAGGAAGGTGCGCAAGGATATGTAAAGGTCTGGTGGAGTGCGCTGGTTTTCTGGTGTTAATCCCTATTTACCTGGGATTAACTCTGCGTTGGTTTATATGTCTGAGTCATCAAGAGATACATACAGGTCATCACATGACTAAGCCATCAATAGACACATAGAGATAAACCATATTTATGTACCATTCAATTAAAAGACTAAGAAGGAAATGAAAAGAACACTTCTTCTCCAGCAACTAACACCCAGATAAGCAGGAATTAACACCAGAAAAATAATCAAGCAGAAAACAATGCCCTTATTAGGGAATTACCAAGGGTTAAAAAGCCTACATGCCCAGCAACACTGGCAGGGCAAGCTTTGGTATATAAATAGAGAACAAAGCCAACATTCAATATCCCTGATGATGTCTGCAAACAAGCAACCAAGCTCAGAGAGACTAAGGACTATACAATGTCATTAACACAACAAGATTGAAATATTTTAAAATTAAAATCTTCCCAAGGAAAAATGTTATAAATAATTGAAATATAATCTAAAGGCTTGTATTCCCCACAATGTTTCTCAAGGAGCAACATAGTCACATTATGTCAAGGATAACTAAAACAAGACAAAAATGTGGGCACATACTTCTTTATCCAGGGTTCGGAACATCGGGCTAACGATGCTTTCTAAGAAAAAGGTCATAGCATCCCAATGCACCCCAATGCAGGAAGGAGAAAAAATGGAGTAGGGTCTTTTATTTGTTTTAGCTATCAAAAGAAGACAAAGTTAAGAAAACTTCAGAACATTCACAATATCAGACTATTCTTTCAATAAGAATGTATTGCCATAAAAATGTCACAATGGATGCAGTTACAATAAACTTATGTTTTGTTGGAAAGCTGCTTTCACTATAAAAAAGCAGTAATTATGATGTTATGATTAATTGGAGATATGTATGGATTTTAATTAAACTCTGAGTGATCATCATGTTTCAAGTATCCTCATCTAAATGGAAAGTCTAACTTAGAAAAATTAAGAGACACTGCCAGGGCAAAGCAAACAAAACCATGTTGTGCACCACTGTTAAATACCTAGCATTTCCCCCTCCTGTTAAAGAAACTTACAATTCGCAGTTCCAGTATCAAGAGGAAGGGACAATTGGTATTTCAGCCATTCCCCAGCCATCTGGAAGCCAGTGTGAGGATCTAGCCGACACGCCATCCTTATCACGTCTCCCTGTTGTGCACGGAAAGCTGGCAAGGAAAAACAACAATAAAAGTCTGATTTGCAACTACCATGACTGTGAATTACCCATGTTTGCAACATGGATACAAAATCTGAAGTTTGAACTGTTCATCCTGCAAAAGGAAACTGTTTGAATGGCTTTATAGATTGCTCCCAGTTTCTTGTGAATTCCATGCTGCTGGTGAAGCCTGTAGGTAATATAAAATTAGATAGACTGGAGGAACACCCATTCTTTCCTCAAACATTTTTTCAGATATACTTGAAAAGATCTATTTTCTGAAGAAAATTTAAATAGAAAGCGTAACAGGACTTAGCAATAGCTATCTACTCTGAAATTATTCATACTGAGATTCTGTTAATGCTGTTCAAATCAAAATATATTGGAAATTTTAGTTGGGTTTTGCTGGAACAACAACTTACAATTGAAGAAGCAATTGAAGTCTTCATCACTGTCAAAATCAAAACGAGAATATTCACAACTAGGACAGTCTGTCTTGGAAGGAAACCCCATCTAGAAAAAAAAAAGGATGAGATGAGAGGTGAAAACACTATGCAGATATATTGTCAAATAAAGACTCTGGAGAATGATCTTAAAACAGATTAATGGACATGGAACATATTTACTGACTAGAAAGTATTCTGCTGCCATGCAGTCGTATTAGAGGTAGCTTGCTAGGAAAGAGGTTCAGAAAACAGCTGGCTCAATTTAAAAACTTATTCTTTTTTTTCAAACATAGTATTTACATCTTATTACACTCTTAACATACCTTCACTAGATTAGTCATGCATGCCCGCAGATAATTTGGGATAATAGCCAACAACACAGGATCACGCGATAGGACTTCGTGCCGAAAAAGAGCACCCCACGTGATCTGGGTAGAAGAACGTAAGAACTAGGAAAATAAAAAGTTAAAGAATCTATTAGATAGGGATTACTATCATGAAACTAGAACAGCTATGTAATCTACATAATATTTCTCACATCTGCCAAAACAAATTCCAAAAATATTGTTTAAAATACATAAGTCACTTTCAATATTACAAGGTAGATACTAGTAGTGCAAGGCACTAGAGAAGCACATACTGCAACATTTTCTAGAGCTTCAGAAAAAAAGGGCAAAAGCCCAATATATTATAAATTGAATAAACAGACTAATGCCACTGTATCTGAATATGGTGGCTTTGGCTTAAGAAGCCTTTCTTCATCTCAGAAAGGAATAATGAATCCATTTAAAAATATTTGTAATCCATAAGGTCATCACAAATACATACTGCATATGACTAATTTTTACACTGAATTACTAGAAAATATTTCACTTCAGCCCTTATCTACTTACCTGACTGGGATGGGTGGTGAAAGCTAGGAATGACTCAAGGTATTTGCCCAAGTTGACAGGTATTTCTACATCAGAATCAGGGCCCTGTTAAGCGAAGAGAAGCAATGTGAATATAGACCCTAACATGATTTAGATTAGACGACAAGGGGTTCACCTGTTACCAGCAGAAGAGCTTCCTGCCGGTATGAAGCTTTCTGTGGACAGGAGACTCCTGTCTGGAGTGTTCAGCCATACAATTAAGAGCAGCATTTCCCTTTCTTCTCACTCCCTTTATATTTAAAGCAGAGAGAACAAATCTTTAGTATAGGGGAAGATGTAAGACCTGCTTTCTCCAAACCTGATGCCTTCAGATGCATTAAAATTGGAATTCCCAGAGGTGCTACCGTGTTTCTCCAACAATACGGCCTCCCCCAATAGGAAGTCCCAGCATGTTTTATAGGCATAAAATCAAATTAAGCCCCTCCCCTGAATTTAAGGCCTATATTAAACATGCAAAATGGGGGGAAATGGTGGGGGGGGTGCCGTTACGAAGTACTTTTATTGCATACCTGGATATGGTGCTGCCTGCGGCGTTGGTGGGGCACTTCGTATCGGGAAACCTTCCGCCACCGTTGCTTTCCCTTCTCCCTATGCTGCTGCGGCGCTTCGAGCAACGCCACGGTGTTTGGCGCAGTTACGCATGGCCAGCCAAGGCTCCTCCCTGGAACTGGAGCCCGGCAGAGACACTCGGCTTCAGGCGCTCCTGTTGCCGCCTTCCCTTTGCCTTCGAAGGCAAAGCCAATTCTTTTAAAAACGATGTCCTACTACCGGTACGACAAAGCCTCTCCTGCCCGAGAGGGCAGCCCAACCCTACGTGGGGAGGCGAATCTCCCGGGGTCGCAGTGCAGGATCGGCCCACCCCAGGAGAAGTGCCCAGCTGCCATCCCTGCCTGGCACTGGGCAGAGCGCAAAGAGCTTCACCTGGGGTGCCCAGCAGCGAGTGCCTCCCCACTGGGCCCTCTGCTCATCCTGCCAGGACCGTGCCAGAGCTATGAGGGCTGGGCAGAGCCGGGAAAGCGAGCCACGGGTGCACGCCCGCCTGCCAAGTGAACGAGCCAGGCCGACCCGAGCTTGGCTTCCTTCCCAAGTCCCTCCAGCCCGAACCCAAGGGGGCCACCGGGAGAGGCTGCCCGAGGCAGTGATACCGCCCACCCATCTGCAGATAGGGAGGCAAGGCGACGCCGGCACTGCTTCCATGGCCAGCGGGTCCGGCGGAGAGAGCCCAAAGCTGCCTGTTCTTTCCACCCCTCGCCCAACCCGTCCCTGTCCCCACGCATCTCCAAATGCGCTGGCAGCTCCAAACGCTGCAGCGGCACGAGCATTGGGCAGAGGCGCTCACTCGGCGGGGCTCAGCTCAGAGGAGGACACGGCGCAGGCCATCACCTTGCCTCCCTGTCCATGGATGGGTGGGCTCTATCACTGCCTCGGGTGGTCTCTCCTGGTGGCCCCTTCGGGATTGGGCTGGAGGGACTTGGGAAGGAAGCCAAGTTCGGGTCGGCCCGTCTCTTTCGCTTGGCAGGCTGGTGCGCACCCACGGCTCTCTTTCCCAGCTCTGCCCAGCCCGCATGGCTCTGGCGTGGCCCTGGCAGGATGAGCAGAGGACTCAGTGGGGAGGTGCTCGCTGCCTTGGTGAGAGCTCCGCTGCCAGGCAGGAGGGCCTGTCTGTCAGCTGCACTGGGCGCCCCAGGTGAAGCTCTTTGCGCTCTGTCCAGTGCCAGGCAGGGATGGCGGCTGGGCGCTTCTCCCGGGGTGGGCCAATCCTGCACTGTGGCCCTGGGAGATTCGCCTCCCCACATGGGGTTGGGCTGCCCTCTTGGGCAGAGGAGGCTTTGTCATCCCGGTAGTAGGGCGTCTTTTTAAAAGAATTGGCTTTGCCTTTGAAGGCAAAGGGAAGGCAGCGACAGGAGCACCTGAAGCCGAGTGTCTCCACCGGGCTCCAGTTGCAGAGAGGAGCCCTGGCTGGCCGCGCGTGGCTGCACCAAATGCCGCGGCAGCACGGGGAGAAGGGAAAGCAACGGTGGCGGAAGGTCTCCCGATACGAAGTGCCCCACCAATGCCGAGGTCAACATCCAAGCTGTCGCCGCCTGCCCGAGGATTCAAGGGAGGGGGTCAAAAAAAAGGCCCGGCCTTATTTTGTGAGAAACATGGTAGGATTGTCACATACTTAGGAGGCTGAGAACATACAATAACTTTTTGGCAGTTACCAAGTGGCTGCCAATTGTCCACACCATTCCCAAACTGGGCAAAAGGCAATTATCTTTTGAAAACCAGACTGACTGGTGAAAAGCAGCAAAAGGAGATAATTTTTGTTATATCTCACCACTAATGCACACAGTTGGCTGCCCAAAGAACATAATACTTGGCAAAGTCTCTTCAAGAAAACATACTGCTTTTCTACCAAACCTTCACCATCTGCAGTTCTGAAAAGTAAAGAAAAAAGCAGGAGTTATGAAAGTTCTACCACATAATTAAGAACCCTTTACACACGAGATAACGCTGTTTATAAAGAAATATGTAAAATTTCAAGTTGACACCTCATGATTTCATTGAAACATTCATACAACTTTCTTGACAAGAGTGATTTGCCATTATATTGTTCTGGGATATGTTTCTGACTTCCCAATCTAGTCTTCTCCTCATATTCCCTTCCAATAATAATCAGGCCCAATCTTGCTTAGTTTCCATGCCTATCCGCATCCCGTACTAATTAATTGGGGCCTGTTGACAAAATGGATTTTACTGGTGTATAATTTGATATGTTCCATCCACAATTGTTGGAAGACTTAAAAACCCAGGTTAGGGACAGATCATCATTGAGAAAATCACTATGATTGAACAATTACTTGATAGTACATAATCACTATGCATTTACAGCAGCAGAGAATAGTACTTACTGGGCAGCAGAGAGAATATAGTGCATGGCAACATCCCCAAACAAAACCATTAAGGGCTTGCGGTCGTCCAGTTTTCCCTAAAATACATAACAGTTTCATCACGTTATTATGAAACAATATTATCCACTGGAAGTGTATTAGCTGGCATTATTACATTGAACGTTTTCTTCTCACAATGACTGTTCAAAGCAGAACGTGTAATTCAATATTCCCCCCCTTCTTCATTTAAAATGCTAATAACAGTTCAATCAATAAATAACAGTAATTTAAACCGAAGTAGTAAGACTCATCCAGCACTCAAAGGTTGGAAACAAGACATTGGTAATCATTTTGGAGAAATTCTCTTCAATTACTAGCTTCTACCCTAGCTGCCAGAGGGATAGTCCAAAATACCAAATAGAACGAAATTCATAATAGATAGGAAAGGACTGTTACAGCCTTACACTTGACAATCTTGTATATGCCTGAAACATGCCTGTGAAAAAGACAGAAAAGAAAAACTCACCTTTCTGCTGACTACAATCAAGAGGCATTCTGCTGCTCCTATTTGAAGCTCTGGCTCATTCAAAAGCAAGCAGAGCATTTCCAGTAGCTTGCAGTTATCTGCTGTGATATGATTCATAGCCACCCAGTCTATATAACCAGCCAGAGTATTGAGTGCTGCAATTCCTACTCGACAATTTGCTTGTGCCTGGAGGGAAAAAAATAGTAACTGAGTCTACAAAATCACCCATCTATTATCATGTCATTTAAGTTAACAGTCTTGATCCTATTGCTAAAACACAGTGAAAATATTAAATGCATTTCCCTCATGTCAACATTTAACATGTTTTTGTTCCTGTGAAAGAAGTACTCAGCCAATCTGAAAATATTACTTCCTTCAGATGCTGGAAATCAGGCTGGCCAACCCACAGACCCTGACCTTTCTTTCTGTTGCTTCTGGAACTTGCCTCTGATTGATGAGAAATGTAC